CCCCCTGGCAAGCCCCCCAAAATAAAAAAAAAAAAAAAAAAAAAAAATCCTGAGCCGCCTTTTGTACCAGGGCTGTCAGTGTCTAAACTGATCTGAACTTGTTTGATACATAACAAGATTTTGCTGCATGCTCCTTTAGCTTATTTGTATCAGGTTAAGGAAGTTATGTCTGATTAACTGACAACCCCAGCTCATTAACCAGAGCAAAATACTTATGAAAGGTTACTGCACACTGATTTTAGATAGAAAGGCTTGAAGGCATAGGAGCACTGGACTAGATGGGGACAAGAACTTGGGTTTTAACTAGAGCTCTAATATTAACAGGGGTAGTATGATTTAAATTACTTACTTAAGTCATTTTAATGAGTGCCTATGCTTAGACATTAAGGACTAGAGGGGAAAGGTCACTTTTTCTTTCCCATTTCAGTTTCATCTAGAAAGGGAGTTAAATCATTTCCAAGGTCTCTTGTAGCTCTGTCATTATCCTATCTTTTAATACACTTTCACAACAAATCGTGAATAAACAGGTACAACCCAAGATCCCAACAGAAGGGAGACGTTAACAATGATCATTAACTGCAGAAACTCAAGAAGCAAAAACCAAAAAAGTAAAAGGTTCTCTAACGCTGTGCCCCTTTTGACTCTAGACTTACATGGAAGTAGACAGTTGAGATGTAAAAGAAATGAAATTCGTTACGTAGCTACGTAGCTTTTACATCGGACTTTTTTTGCTTTGATTAATCGATTTTAGCTTCTAGTAAAACGTAAAGGGAAAGCTCTAAGGAGCGTGTCCTTGAAAATTAGATCAGAGAAGGGTTGTTAGCCCCGGTATTCCTCCTAGAGAGGATTTTTCGGTAACGGAGGATCTTCTGCTTGTTTACTCAAGATCACTGCGTGAACATTTTACAGTATAATTCTCTCAGTGTCCCCAAACAAGACCCCGATTCCCCCAAATTCGAGTTGTGGGTGGTTCATGACCTCAAATTATTACCGCTCCAGTGACAGGGCTCGCGAGAAGGTCCGCGCCAGCCCGGGGGACGTGCTGCCGGACTCCGCAGCCCCGCACCAAGCCCCAGGACACGCAGCGGCCTCCCTGGGAGACCCCTCCACCTTCCCGGCGTGGCCTACCGCCCCCCGTTCAGGAGCTCGGGATTCTGAGAGCAGAGAAAAAAGATCATACTTAGGCACAAGCTGTGGCATCCGACACCAGTAGGAGGCTGAGGGGCTCCACCACCCGCGGAGTCTAGGAGCAGTGAGGGTCCAGGTCGGGGAGGGCGCCGGCGCCGCAGCCTCTGGATGGCAGAGAACACGTGGGAGCGTTGATGTCAAATAAAACTCTCTGACACCGATTCGTTATAAAGGGGAGTAATCCAGAGGAAAAAGCCGGTACCATCGACAAATTCTACATACCCTAAGAATGAATTTTAGTGATTGTCTGATAGGCCAACGTCTTCTATTTCTGACTTTCTCCCGGGTACCTACCCGAATCTGTCGAAACTCTTCGGAAATCTGATTTACCTAATCCCGTGCCCCTAACGGTCTCCGGGAGCTACACTGTAAACAGTCCCTACTGAACGCAGGTGGTATTACCGGTTAGGTCGGGAGGCCTTCAGGTCTTCCACGAATCCCTTGGGTTTTAGTTCAGGTTTAAGTCTTATGGGGGCAATGTGCTGCCTAAAAATATATATATATTCACATCTGTTTTACACTTTTCAGGCCGGGAGTTTGTTTCCACCCGGAGAGGGACAGAAGGGTACCGGAAAGCCCTTAGCTTTTTGGTTGGATGGTTTCTCGGCGCGCATGCGTGATAGGTCTTCAGGGCGGGCTTTACGGAACCTGTTGACCCGCGGCAACCGAAGCGGTTTCAAGATTAATACTGTGACAGCGCGGTTCCCCGGCATTCTGGTGACAGAGAGGGGAGGAATTGAGGTGTCGGAGGGTTGCATCTGGAGGGGGTGTGTAACACTGACTGAAGAAAGCTATTGAGAGTCTTCTGCAGGTGATTTTAAAAACAGCTTTTTTTTTTTTTTTCTTTGCTGGCTTGACTCATTCTCGATAAATCTTAACCCCACCTCCACATTTGTTTGTTTTTTTTCTCTGCCGGCTCTGGGGTTCGAGTGTGTCCTGGTTATTATGGTTATTATGGTTATCGTTGCTTTTGCGCCATTCTCTGATGATCCTCACGTTCTGATTTATTGGCATGGTGCATTAGTAGACCGAGTAGGATTAATGGGTAAATACGACCTTCAGGTCGTCTTTTTGGCATCGAAACAAAATTGAAATATCTAATTTTGTTCATATTGTTTAGACTTTCTTTTAAAGTTGATAACTGCATGTTTCAAAATCCTTTTGAAATTCACATTTCTTTATTATATTCCCTCCCATACTACCTCTCCCCTTTTGGTCCTCGAAGAGCTGAAAATTTTGTTCTGAAGTCTTATGGATCCAGAAGGAAGTTCTGTTCACAACTGTGGGAGTAGTTTGGTTGTCAACCACATGAAAGGCCCTGAGTTTAGCCCGGGAAAGAAAAAAAAGATTAAAGTGCCGGTGAGGAGACTTCGTGAGGTCATTTCTCCAAATCAGGGAGATAATTTGGCTTTGCTGAAAGATGACTCGTCCTGTGTTCCTCCAGCATTGTCTGCAAATAAACATCTTCCTGTTAAAACGGGAGCTAGCTTGAATGGAGTGTTGTCTGGTATGTGATTTCATATAGTTTATTCATACGGTTTTCACTTTTGTAGATCTTTCGTCTTTATTCTTAATGTTTACATTCTCAAATGTAAGATGTAAGTTTGTTCAGAGATTTGAAAACTGATCCTTTTTCTTGGAACATAGCCAAGCAGAATCTGCAAAGTACTTGACTGGATCAATAAATAAAACTTTACGGTTTATTTTTTAAAATTATTTATTTAACTTTATTCATTCATTCTTTTTTTTTTTTTTGGAGAGGTTTTTGCTATAGGGCGCGTGCGCTCGCCCGCCAGACAGAGAGAGACAGAGAGACAGAAAGCAAGAAATCACTCCCCAGGGGGATGGCCACGCCGCAATCCCTTCTTCTCCATTCTCCTCTGGGATCTTGGGCACGTATCCACATGCCCCCGGCGTGAGTTTAAGCCGCTGGGTCTGGGACTTGACCCGGGGTCGGCTACGTGGGAATCCAGCGACATAGCCATTACGCTAACTGCTGGTCCCTCATTTATTTGTTTTTAATTTGACCAGAGAGAGACACACACACAAAAAGAGAGAGTGAGAAAGCAAACCACCAGGTCTGGGACTTGAGCAGTGGTTAACCATGTGGGAATGTCCAGCACCTTAACCACCACACCACAGGCTGGTCTTTTTTGGTCTTTGCATATTGTTCCTGTTCACATCTAGGATGGATACTTAACTTGCATACTGTGCTTAATTTTCCCGAGTAGTGCTTTCACCAAATGCCCTACTTTGTTTGGATGGTGCTATCTAGTTTGACATAGGAGAAAATCATAACTATGGCGATTTGATGGCTTCCATATTCCAATTCACTTAATCTGTCTGTAGCTCTGTGAAAATGACAATGATATTTGTTTTACCCACTTCACTGTAATGATAAGGATCGAAGAATGATTATATATACAGAAACAGCCGAGTACTCGTGAGGTACAGCAGTGATGTGCTTGACAGGCATGTCGTTAAATCAGGCTTTTTGTATCATATACATATTTTATTCCTGGCAATTGCTTTTACTCATAGTTTGTCTATGTCTAACAGTATACTGATGTATTTAAAACATTTTATACTTATCCCACTTGATTGTCCATACTGACTCTAATTTTCTCAAATATCAACTCTAAAAAATTTTTTGTATATATTTAAATATATTTCAAGGTTTTTTTGGCATGCAAATTGTCTTCCAATATGGGTTCCACATTAATATGGAGTTTATAGTTCTTAATTTGTGACTATCCAGTTTCTAAAGATAAAGTTCTGAATTTTAAAAAAAAGTCACGGGACCAGCAGTTAGCGTAATGGCTATGTTGCTGGACTCCCATGTAGTCAACCGTGGTTCGAGTCCTAGACCCAGTGGCTTAAACTCATGCCGAGTGCCTGTGCGTGCATGCCCAAGATCCCGAGAGGAGAATGGAGGAGAAGGGATTGTGGCATGGCCATCCCCCCTGGGAGGTGATTTCTCACTTTCTGTCCCTCTGTCTCTCTCTGTCTTTCTGGCAAGCGCACATGCCCTATAGCAAAAAACCTCTCCAAAAAAAGAAAAAATCACTAAAATTGATTCCTTTGTTTTGTTAGGTTCATCAGACTTAATTTCTGCTAGAAATGATCACCAACCTCCTTTTGATAATCTCACTGTGTCACAAAGTGTAAGTAAAAGAATTCTTACGTATGCTCTTGTTAAATTTTTCAATGTTGTTAAATAACGTGTTTTTAAATTAGGTTTGATTAACAACATGTCTAAATTTTTTATAAAAAGATCACTTATCAAAAGAGATGCTTAAAATACCACAGCTGTGACTTGTACAATTTTTGAGACAATAAACCAGGCCCTTCCATGTTAGTAGAATAATGACCACTGAGAGAGAGGCTATAATTGAGAAGAAACTACTGCTATCTTGAGAAAAGGAATCTTTTTTTGTTTTAAAGATTTTTGTCATAGAGTGTATGCCCTTGCCAGAGAGAGAGAGAGACAGACAGAGACAGTGAGAAGAAAAGTGAAAATTCAACCCTTTGGAATGGCCACACCGCAGTCCCTTCTCCTCCGTTCCCCTCTTGGGATTTTGGGCATGCACGCTCATGTCCA